CTATTCTATATGTTGATTATACTTGTTAAGACAAATAGAAAAAGTTTCATACAGAAAAAATACTTTCAACTATTTTAAAAACGTGTTTAAACTTTGGAACAGGTCAGTTTGACCCACAACATACTAGGAGGGTTGATGGGGGTGGGTGATACTAGGAATTTTGGTATCTGTCCAAAATCAAGTGCTAGTATTGCTGACACTGATAGGGGAGACAGTAACACTTCATGCATTTGACTCTATTGCTCAGTGATGGTTTGTATCAGACAAAACAAGTTTTATACAATAAACTTACATCTGTCTGTTAATAATCAAAACCATTTAAAGATGATTAAAGTATGTACATTCACAATTTGCATTTGAAATCTAATTGTTTGGGGGTGGTTGCAGCATGTTAATACAGTATAATCATAAAGGTTTATAGTTTTATAATTTTTATATGTATTAATAATATTATTCTATTCATAAAAATGTAAGTTATAACAATATTCCAATGTTATTTATTTATCATTTTTGATCAAATGACAATATAAATTTGCCTTAATGAGTAGGCCTTATATACAGATGTCAAAGACTCAAACTGATTTAGAATACAGTAGGCTTTCAGTGACAGGAAGAATGAAACAATTTGTGAGGCAAAACATTTGTTTTGCCTTAATTGTCAGTGTATGCATTCATTATGCCAAATTTATATTTAAGAAAACTGGGATGGTCTCTCCAAACTCCTTCCACGCCTGAGTTTTTGCCTCAGCGACCATCCGAGCCACAATCCTCTTGGACTGCCGATACCTATAGGCTGTTTCCAGAGTCCCATTGCCGGTGTCCAGGGTTCGAGGGTTGCCGGCACAACAGGCACGGAATATGTTCAAAATTCTCCTGGACGTGTGAATTGAAGCTTTGTCTGACAGGAGACTGCCAGACATTCCCAGCAAACCCTCACTTTCTGTTTGGGTCTGACCAGCATCCTCCCCCACCAACGGAGCCAGCCCACCACCAGGTAGTGGTCGAAATGTGGCCTAGGGTGTCCCGGTGACAAGAGCACATGTGGACACACTTATGTTTGAACATGGTGTTCTGTGCTCTTCGTGGATGGTCCATAACGAGCACAGAAGTCCAATAATAAAACACCACTCAGGTTCAGATCGGGTGGGGGGGG